CAGTCTCCTCACCATCAGCTAAAACTCCCCAGCTGAATAATTTTTTTATTTCTTGCCAACCGAAAAATATTGAATGTAAGCCCTAAAAACTCGAAGTTTAGGTTAGTTCCAAGTAGATTTCAAATAAGTACATTTGGGAAATCAATCGTATCAAGACCAGCGCAACCCTCACTTTTCAAAACAGCGAATACGATAGGTCCCACTACGGAAAAGTACTCTTGGCACTTTGCCGATGCATCCAACAATAATCTTACACAAGTTTGTTCTGGCGCTTAAAATTTGGCATTAAGTGGCAATTTTCTGCCGTGAACGGTGATTTATGCCGGCTTAGGTACTGAAGACAAATAGTTCTCAGTGGCATAACTTCTAATTTGGGCATTCTTTCGGTGGGAAGGCTTCTACCGATTCAACCGAAAGCAGTGATTCCTGACGTATTTCTGCACCTGCCTTGCACATCCATTTGTTTGGGGAGGAAGGGGGGGGGATAAAAGCTTACTATTATGAAATGACTGATGCGAAAATTTTAACTTAGAACCGAAGTTTTATAATATAAAGTTCAAGGCGGAAATTCGGAAATGTTAAGAGAAGCAGCGGAAAATTTATTTTATTAATAATGAACCGCTTCAGTAATTCAGCCCATCCGTTTTAAGAAATCGAGAGTGATTTCACATCGTTCCATAAAAACAGGTTCTATATGGTTAAGTTTATACTGTACCACAAAATCGAAACTTTAGTTCAGAAAAATGTGTGTAGTGGAATTAATTTTCAACTTGTTGCGAAAGCCAAAATTTTGAACACACCGTAGGAGGCGGGAGATTACGGTAACCCTGCCATTCAGAAGACCGTGAAAATGTCGTCTGAGGCTCAAATACTGGCCATTTTAATTATATATAGTTTGACTTGGAGGTTGCAATTCTTTTGGTGTCCAAAATTTTGGCCATTCATAGATGTTGTTTAATTTATATTCATTTTTGAAGCCCGCGTGAAGATATTTGTTGAAATATAACATTATAGCAAAAAGTTCTTTTACTAAGACTCTTTACTTCATCTCTGAAAATAACTTTATTTTGCCTAGAAACCATACGGCTTTTCCAATTATCGATTCTTCCAGGTAATTTTTTAAAATACAAGCTCTTTGGCGATATAAAAATCCCAGTTTTTCTTTGGAAATTTACTATTTGTGAAGGAAGACAGGCAGTTTTTGCAGGTACAAATCATTTTTTTCACTTAATATTAAACTTAAATTTGACAATTCATAAGCAGTTCGCTGTAATTAGTTCGCCACAGTAGTGGCTGAGTGTTGCACGCGGCATTGTTTGCATTTTTCAGTGGTGTACAAACCGAAAAGCAAAACAAAAAAAGGAAATTACCTTCAATTTTCTTAAAATTACAACGCACTTTATGAAAAAGTACAGAATTGTTTCTCAACTAAAGATTCGGAATTGTTATTCAATTGAAAACACTCATATTTTCGCTATAAACTTAGCGAGAAAAGGACTAAAAAGCAAGAAATTTGGAAAACAAAAAGGTGAAACGTTGATGAACAGCATTAGTAACTTTAGTAGTCATTAGTAACTTGTCATTAGTAACATTAGTAACTTGTCATTAAAAAAAAAAGTCATTAGTAACTTCTTCTAAACCTTTAACACTAGAGTATAGCGCACCTTTGCAGCGTATAACCTCCAGATACGTACATATAAGACAGTGGCATTACGCCAAAGTTGCTGGAAGCTCTCCAAAGTGAAGCTAATTCTTATTATTCAGAAATTACCTGGAAAAATCTACTCTAATATAACTACAATAGAATTAACATATTAGACGGCTAGGAAGGAGCATTTCATTTAATGGGCGTTGGCAGTTTGGGCTATTATATCATTTTTGGGTCCGCTTAAAACAGCAAAGACATTGATGATTCTTTACTTTCTGTGTTGTTCTCGTCGGGTAACACTTGAAAGGTTCAGTTAACACTTTCGTTTTTAATAGGTACCATCCTTAACATCCTTCTGTGAAGTGAATGTAGATTTTGAGGCAATTCTTGTGTCCGTCATATTTGTATATGCCATGTTTAGGAATTTAAGAAACCTAATCATTATTATATAAACCTTTTCATATTTATTTTTCGACATTTATCGTGAGTTCTCTGTCATTAATTCATGTAGTGACCATTTGTGTGGGTCAGTGTTTTCGAGACTTTGTGTATTTATTGTAAGGGGAATCTTCGGGTTTCGTTTTCTCAAATTTAGGACTGCAACATTTTTTTACAGATTTCCAGCAGCTTTCGCTTTAAGAAGTGATAGGCAGTATATATGAGTCATGAACGGGGTCAAAATTTTTTTAGTGAAATTTTACTCACCGGTTAATAAAACTTAATGGCGGCAAAGTAAATTGAGAACAGTTACTCTGTTTACAGGTTTTCACGAAGTGCAAGTTGCAGTTTGGCAAATGAAAAATTATTAGCTGGTTTACTGCGCTGCAGCTTTCTTTCAAGAGGAGTTTGAAGTCACCTTAAAAAAATAAGTTAGTTATGAATGTTTTAAAAGCTTCCTAAAGATAAAAGCAATATACGCGTGCGAATATATCATTGAGTTTTGAGTTGAATTCACTGTTGCAGGATATGCCTATAAAAAAGTTCTCTTGGGTAGGAGAGTTCACACAGAAACGGATGTTCGATACAGACGTTCGAGTGCGATTTGCTCCTTCACCAACTGGGAAATTACATTTAGGTGGTTTGCGCACTGCGCTATACAATTATCTTTTCGCTAAGTCTCACGGTGGAAAGTTTTTACTTCGAGTTGAAGATACCGATCAACAAAGAGTCATTGAAGGAGCACACCAAAAGGTTCTTTAAATCAATTTTTATATTTTACTTGCAGAACAATTTCCAATGAAATAGCTATCGTTTTTAAAATACGCGCTTAGTAGATTGCCGTATGTCTCTATGTCAGTGCGGAATGCAAATTCTGCAAAGCGTGAATAAAATTATTTGTAGTTCTACGAAAAAAAACTCATTATTCTTTACAACTACGGTTCGTTTTTCCGTAGGCGTCTTACTTTAACAACGTTACAGTTTTCGTTTTAGTCGGAATCTTATCCGTATGTCTTTCTGAAGTCACTTATTGTTACAAAGCGTAAATCAGTCTTGGATCATAAGGATTTATAAACTAACGGGGAAACATCTGCTTTTGCTGGTGGTTTAAGAGGCTTTCGGCTTTTTTTTTTTTTTTTTTTTTTGATTCTTTCTGAAGGTGACTGTACTTGACAAAAGCGTGTTAGTTGATTGAGGAGAAGTTGTGGTTGATATATACTATTCTGCGATACCAAGACCGTTGAACAATGTATAGAAAGATCACTTATGTAAAACGCAGTTTGATCTCTGCAGCGATATAGTCAAGAGCTAACTTAAATTTAATGATACTATCAAAGCTTTACCAAGTCCGAAAAGTAGTTCTATTTTCAAATAGTCCTCGGTATGCTAATCCTGAGACCTTTATAGCGTCTTTTTTCTGCATTACCTAGAAGGACTTACTTTTTGTTACTATTGACGATTTATCCCGAAATCAGTCGTCTTTATAAATGCTATAAGTTTTTTTTGCTTTTTTTGTTGTTATTTCGCGCTTTTCGGAGTTAGAAGTGACGCTCTCGTTGATTACTTTTGCTGATGCGCTACGCTTAGGCAACTCTCAGTTCATATCGAATTTGTTTGATTTGAGCGTCAGCAATACTTATCGAGTGGTAATATCTGGTTCTACCTTTTTCCTACAAACAGGTCTGTTTTGTTTGACTCGCTGGATTCAAGGTGCTTCATTATTGTTATCAATGAGCAGTTCTGATTAGGAATGCTGCAGTGTTTTTGTGGACAGCTTCCTCGCTCTGCAGAAAAGTTTACCAACTGTTTTTTTTTTCTTTTTATTTTTTTTTTTATTGAGGCCTTATTCGTCAGTGCGCTGATTATATTTTTTTCCGCATGATATTGGCAGACAGTTTCAAAAGGACTTTAATGATTTTGAATTGTGAGGCACTGTATGACTTGAGATACCTGTAAAACAGTTTAGCAATTTATTTTAAACTTTGTTTTTTGTGTATTAAAATAGTGGATTTAGTGATTCGTTCTGACATAAAGGCTTAAGAATCCGCCTAGAAGTAACTGAAGTTATTTTATGGGTTTCTTCATACGGCGGATGGTGTATTGCATTTAAAACAGAGCTGATGAAGTAACTCTTTATCGAAGATTTTTCTTTTGGTTTATTCAGTATGAAAGATTATTGGACTATTTCGGTTTATACCGTGACGAAGGCCCATCTGAAAGTGGGAATTATGGTCCATATATGCAGTCACAGAGAGTTAGTAAATATGCGGAAGCTGTATCTGAGCTGGTTGAAAGGGGATTGGCATACCCGTGTTTTTGCTCTCCTATGGTAACCATTTTGAATCAACAATACTTTTATTTTTTTGGCTAAGTTTGATTTATGCTTATTGCTACTTGTATTTATTGTACTTAATTGGTTTTATGCATCCCAATTTACTTTATTCTCAAAATAGTTTCTATTTAATTTGCTACAAGTATTTAGGATAACTGATAAGAAATTACTGTAAAACTTTTTAACAGAGGCTTGAGATGCTTCGTAGAAACGCAGTGAGGATGAAAGAAATATTTCGGTATGATAATCACTGTCGCCAACTGCCAGCTGAGGAAGTGAAGTGTCGTCTGAGGAACAGGGAACCTCATGTTGTTCGCTTCAAGATGGATAGGCACAGCACTTCTTTTACGGTTTTGCTTGTTAATTAGAAACTTGATTATTAAACTCACTTATTCTCAGGATTGCACTACCACTTAATTTTTTTATGAAAGCTACCAACAGTTACGGAATCTTCCTTCCATCGCGCAGTATAATTCCTCAAGAGCATTGTTAATAAAAGTACTTACAGAAGATGCAGCGATTGCTAAATAAGTTTAGTCTTAGAAATTTTTTTCTACTAATTTTTCTTTATAAATTTTTGTTGTTTAGGATGAAGTCTTTGGACAAGTGTCACAGGTGGTCGATGAAGGAGATTTTGTGCTGTTGAAATCTGATGGTTTTCCAACTTATCATTTGGCAAATGTAGTCGACGATCATTCAATGAAAATCAGTCACGTTGTAAGGGGGATGGAGTGGATTCCTTCGACTCCGAAACACATCAAGCTTTACAGGTCTTATCTTATGGAAATTTCTTCGTTTCAATTATTGGTTGTAAGAATGCCTGCATTACACATTTTTCGTTGAAAATTTTTAGAAGTTTGTGGAAGCATTATTTTTTTGTTTTGCCGCAGATTAATGGTTGTTTTTTGATTGGTCATAGAGCTTGAAATTTATTTGAAGGAGAAATACTTTTTTTATTGTCTTTTTATTGCAGGTCAAATTTAAATTTGAAAATATGGCCTGTATTGTAAAATTTCAGTGCGTTTGGTTGGCCATTGCCAAAATATATTCATTTGCCACTGATAACCAGGGATGGGAAAAAAAAGCTGTCAAAGCGTGATAAGGTCATTCAGCTTTGTCTTTGAACATTGTTTTTATGATAACGGAGAAGCATTTCAACACTACGAAAATTTTTATTGGCCAAATTGTTTGATTGGAATTAAGAAATGACTTGTTGGACCCAACGGCTGAAATAGTACTCAGTCCTGATTTAATAACTTTTCTCCATTTCATCAATTTCAGGATGCTTATGTTGAATACTACGTCGAAGAAAGGGGATATTTACCGATTGCTGTGCTTAATTTTTTAATTCGTAATGGCAGTGGCATTAGAAATTTTAAAAGTAACCACCTTTATTCTATCGAGGAGATGGTTGAGAACTTTGATGTAAAATTCATTGGGAGGAGGAACTTTATGGTTATTTTTTCGTCTTTTTGTGAATTAGAAATTTAAAATATTGTGGCATTACTATAAGGGTTGGATTTTGCAGATGGATGAAGCGTCGCTGAATAACTATGGTTGCTTAGCATTTGCGTCTTGTGATGAAGGAGAATTATTTTCTCTTATTTCTGACTTCAAAACAAAATTTGATCCTTTCAACGAGACCCGATTGAAAGATCGTCAGTACTTACAAAAAGTTTTACATTTTGTGCGCGATCGAGGGGAGAAATTTGCCCATTTATCGGATTTTACCGGTGAAGTGATTGGTTACTTTTATAACTCCCCAAGCTCTCCAGTAAAAATCTTAGAGCGCTTTGATGCTAACCTGGCATCAAAACTTCTGATTGATTTGGTAAATATGAATGAATGGAACCTTGAGAAGTGGAAAGAGATCGCTCAAAACAACAATGTGGATTCCTCGAAATTTTTTCTTCTTTTTAGGTTGAGTGTAAGTGATAGCTACAGCGGGCCTCCGTTAAAGGATTTAGTGAGTTTTTTTGGCAAAGACGAGTGCGTAAGACGCCTTAATTACGTTATTAAAATGCTTAGTAATAATTAGGAATGGTAGAAGTAAATACATCTCTATTGAGCGACAGAATATATGGTTTTATTTTGGTTTCTTTGCTCCATGTGGAAACTAAATTTCAGGTTTTCTAGACTTTAGGTCATTTTTTTATAAGAAAAATAAATCTTAACAAGAATTTTTTTTTTTTTGTCACTGTCAATTCGCAGTACCATTTTGGATTAGGCCGATTATTTATTTTCTAACTTGCTGTAGATGTGCAATGAAGCTAAAATATTTTGGACGTGTTAAATTTAATTGATAAGAAACGTCGTCGAAGAGGACGACGTTTACTGTGGAAATTTGTTGTGAATCACTGCTATTTATTGCAAAAAGTTTTCCGCGGCCGATCTAAGATTACATTAATTCGGTCGGCTGGCAACTCATAAAGTTGGTGGCTCATGTCCACATTCGGCCACGCTTACCTGGCTTTGTTTGGGGCCTCCGCGATTCTTTTGAAATTATTCTTTTTTGGAATCAAGTATCGCCATAATATGCTGATTTTTGGAGCCCCTTTCGAAGTATTTGCTGAAGCGTGACGTTGGGGCTGGTTTTCGCCGTCGCTGTTTTTGTTACTCTTCATTTAAAAAGTTACTTTGTTCTCTAAGAGGGATTTTTTTTACATTTAAATTTTACCAAATGTGTTTCCAACATATAGATTCTTTTGAGGGGCTAACATTTTTATTTTTCTTGAAAGTTTACTATTTATTAAGAAAAATGAATTGATTTTGAGCTTAATTGACTGGTTTTTCCCAAGTACTATTGAGTTTATACTTATTTTTTTTGTCTTTATATCGTATTATTAAATCTTTATGATATTTATAAAATTTTTCGCTTATTTTTCATTTTTCTGCAATTTTTTGCATTGTGATGCGATGTAATGAAACGTTTTTGAGCACTGCTTATGTCCAATTGTGTTTTACAAAATGTTCTTGAGGATTCCATCTTATTTTACCGTTTTTTAGTAACGGTAATATATACGCATTTACAGTCACAGCATTATCAGTGAGCATTACGCTGTTTACGGATTAAACAATATTTACAAATATATCTTCTGATACGCGTCTTCTGATGTGCCTGGTCTTTCTTGTCTTTCTTGTCAGAGAAGCATCGAGTCCGCTGTGTTCACCAACTTGGCGCCCTATTGACGTCGCGTGCACACCTGAACTCTTCAGTCATTAAGCTTCGTTCTACTTAGTTTTCCGAAAGTGATGAGGAAATGTCTTCATTTTTTGAAGTGGAAAACATCAGTTCTTTATTTTTTTTGGCATTCTTGCTTATGACAATGCCGATGTAATTCATTTGACTCGTGAAGTCTTCTAACTCTTCGGCGTTGATTTTCGGATATGGCTCCTTTACAGATTCGTGCTTCACCCAGCCGCAAAAGACTTATCGGCGAAGATTGACAGTGCAAGGGGTTTGTTCTTAGGTGGAGTCCAGGTCAATATACAGAGGGCCGAAAAAAGATCTGGAAGAGTGAATTTTCCGCCTTGTTCCCCACCTCAAAGTTTCAAAATTTGCTAGAGTGCCGCTTGACACGCATATCTTCGCAGACTTAATTTATCCTAAACAAAATTTAGTGATCTTTAATCGGTTGGATTTGCCATGACCTGTGCCTCAAATGTGTATTGAGTCACTTAATCCTGCTAAAAGGTATTAAAGAGACAATTAAAGCAAGAGTTTAAAAATTAAAAAAACTTGAAATGCTTTAAAAAAAACACATTTTGTGTAGAGTTTTTCACTTTACGAAATGTCAGGTTTTAGTCATGGCGTTTCTTGTCACCAAGAGTCTCGAGCTGATATCTTGGGACTGAAAGAAATCCACTGTTTTTGCAGTAACCCCATGTATTTCATAGTGACGAAATTATTTTGGGCCGCTCCTCGAAGCCATAAAGAGCGGCGATAAAAATCCGTATGTTTTAAACATTAACAGTTTGTTACAAGGTTGTAATTTACTGTGAAACAGTAAAATCATTGTTCTGCAGAATTGCAAGAAGTAACCTTTATTCCTGATTTCTGCTTCCTGTATGTCGTGGTTTACTGGGTAGGTCAAGAAGGTGCATTTGACCCACATAAAGCAGGCTCCATTTATGCATAGTTTACTAAGCAGCGGGTTTTGTGAGCAAAGAATCTGTGGAACACGGGAAGTTTTATTTTGGCGTTTGAGAGCGAGCAGAAGAAAAGATCTCTGAGCTTCCAGAATCGTGTGCGTAGTGCACTTGTTAGAATTCTGACTACACAAGCGAACATGAACTCGACTTATTTATTGTTCTTTCTTTAAAATTATGTGCTGTAGTTATCCAAATCGGCTAAATATAAACTTTGAGAAAGCCCCTAATCTAGCAGCCAAAAATGTGAGGCAGTAGGTCCTGAGACGCTAAAGCGTATGTAACTGCACAGTTTTGAGAAAAAGAAACATGAGAAGCAAAGATCACTGAAATGGGGGTTGCTTTTTGCAACTTTACGGAACAGTAATTTATCAGTATTTTAAAGTACAACTTTTGTGATAAATTTTCAACGTTTAAAACACGGCTTTTATAGCCGCCCTATATGGTTTTCAAAAATGGCTCAAGATGGTTTCGCCACTGTGAAATGCATAAAGTGACTGTAAAATTTGGATCTTTTTTAGTTTCATACACCTTACCGGCTCGTGACTTGTTGTACCAAAAATATGCCATCACCAAATCTCGACATTTTGCAGAGCGAAAAATTCTACAAAAATGTGTCTTTTCCGAAGGATTTAAAGGTACATTTTTCTATTATTTGAAATTTTGTTTTTACTGTATTTATAAAATCTTTCACGCGAATTGAATTATTTAATACTCATTAAAGGCACAGGTCATGAACCTTAAAAATATTTAAATTCTGTTAAGGACAGTATACATTACAAGTTTGCGAAGGTATGCAAGTCAAGTGGCAGGCTGACAAATTTTACAACTTTGAAGTAGTGTAACTTGACAAAGAGTTCACTGCTCCAGATTTTATTCGGCTATCTGCATGCTAGTCTACACTCTGCTAACCATCAAAATTCAAAAAAATTCTGAGATACGAAGGGGAAAAAAATGTGTATTTTGACGTGGGATGTTCTATTTAGGGGTGGGCACTCTTAACTTGAGCAGCCCATTTCTTGTCTTGCTGGAAATGTCTCATCTAGTGGCATCACTTGCTTGTGCTTCTTTCAACTTCTTATATTTGTACTTGTCAAAGTACTTTTCATTTTTAATTTGGCTATTTAAGTGATTCTTTGAACTGCTGCCTGGATCTTCTGGTACTGTTAAAGTTTCAGGAGTCCACATTTCATCAGCCTTGTCCGACCCGTCGCTTGTAGGCTCAGATTATATTTTTCCGTACGGAATTTGACCTAAAACAGTCCCACGTGGTTCCAGTGTAATTTATCGTGACAGTAAAATTACGTGTGGCGATAGCAGAGAGAGAATGAGTTTAAACGTGAAGTTCGGTTTGGGAAAACTACTTTGGCTAACATAGCTAATTGGATCTTTAAACCGTAGATTTCCCTCGCACTTTTCTGTTTTGTAAAGGAGGAATTAAGCGTAAAATGTTCTTGAAAAAGTGAACATCTTTCCGCATTACCCAATCCTGACTTTTTTTTTGCATTTTCGTCATACGGAAACGAAATGTAAAATCTTATGAATTTTTAATCCAGAGGCGTATAAGCGTCTGTATACCAACTAGTTTTTGCTCACAGAGGACAATTCTTAAAGTATGGAAAAATTGGTGAAAGATTTTTTTCTTTGTTTTTTTTTCAAAAAGGTGAAAGATTTTTTATTAAATCTTAGTAAGGTCTAACTTGACAAAAGTTCCATCTTTGAAGTCTGAAGTCAGACACCAATAATTGTCAAAACTTGAGGAGAATGCTAATATATCAACTTGGAGGTGTGTGATCGCCCATAGTCGTCATTGGCTTTTATCTCACCACGAATAAGGAAGATTTTTTTTTTTTT